CTATTATGTTTTATGATCCGTTAACCCCGAAGTGACAATAATCGGGATACTTACCGGTGATGACCGTAGTTTGAGGAGTTCATGTATTCACTATGTGCTAATGCTTTGTTCCGGTTCTCTATTAAAAGGAGGCCTTAATATCCCTTAGTTTCCATTAGGACCCCGCTGCCACGGGAGGGTAGGACAAAAGATGTCATGCAAGTTCTTTTCCATAAGCAGGTATGACTATATTCGGAATACATGCCTACATTACATTGATGAATTGGAGCTACTTCTGTGTCACCCTATGTTATGACTGTTACATGATGAAAGCACATCCGGCATAATTATCCATCACTGATCCGATGCCTACGAGCTTTCCATATATTGGTTTACTATTATTTACTTTCCCGTTGCTATTGTTACAATCACTACAAAATACCAAAAACATTACTTTGCTTTCATTACTCTTTTGTTACCGTTACCATCACTATCATATTACTTTGCTACTAAACACTTTGCTGCAGATACTAAGTTTCCAGGTGTGGTTGAATTAACAACTCAGTTGCTAATACTTGAGAATATTCTTTGGCTCCCCTTGTGTCGAATCAATAAATTTGGGTTGAATACTCTACCCTCGAAAGCTGTTGCGATCCCCTATACTTGTGGGTCATCAGAGCCCAGTGCTAATTCCTATTTTTTTTCCTTGTTTTTGAGTTTCACAGAAAAGGAATACCAAATGGAGTCCAAATAGAATAAAACCTTCGCAATGATTTTTCTTGGACCAGAAGACAACCAGGAGACTTGGAGATGAAGTCAGAAGAGCCACAAGGCGGCCACAATGATGGGGGCGTGCCCAGGGGGATAGGGTGTGCCCCCACCCTTGTGGGCCCCTCATGACTCCACTGACCTAATTATTTCACCTATATATACTCTTATATCCCAAAACCACCAGAACAGGACACGAAAACACTTCTCAACTGCCGCAACCTTCTGTACCCGTGAGATCCCATCTAGGAACCTTTTCCGGCGTCCTGTTGGAGGGGGATTCGATCACGGAGGGCTTCTACATCAACTCTATTGCCCTTCCGATAAAGCATGAGTAGTTTACCTCAGACCTACAGGTCCATATATAGCTAGTAGCTAGATGGCTTCTTCTCTCTCTTTGATTCTCAACACCATGTTCTCCTTGATGTTCTTGGAGATCTATTTGATGTAATAATTTTTTGAGGTGTGTTGCCGAGATCCGATGAATTGTGGATTTATGATAAGATTATCTATGAATATTATTTGAATCTCCTCTGGATTATTTTATGCATGATTTGATATCTTTGTAATTCTCTTCGAACTATCTGTTTGGTTTAGCCAACTAGATTGGTTTTTCTTGCAATGGGACAAGTGCTTAGCTTTGGTTCAATCTTGCGGTGTCCTTTCCCAGTGACAGTAGGGGCAACAAGGCACGTATTGTATTGTTTCCATCGAGGATAAAAAGATGGGGTTTTCATCATATTGCTTGAGTTAATTCCTCTACGTCATGTCATCTTGCTTAATGCGTTACTCCGTTCTTTATAAACTTAATACTCTAGATGCATGCTGGATAGCGGTCGATGTGTGGAGTAATACTAGTAGATGCAGAACCATTTTGGTCTACTTGACTCAGACATGATGCCTATATTCATGATCATTGCCTTAGATATCGTCATAACTTTGCACTTTTCTATCAATTTCTCGGTAGTAATTTGTTCACCCAACGTATTATTTGCTATCTTGAGAGAAGCCTCTAGTGAAACCTATGACCCCCGGGTCTATTTTCCATCATATAAGTTTCCGATCTATAATTTTAGTTTCCGATTTACTCTTTTTGCAATCTTTTACTTTCCGATCTATAAACCAAAAATACCAAAAATATTTACTTTACCGTTTATCTATCTCTATCAGATCTCACATTTGCAAGTAACCGTGATGGGATTGACAACCCATTTATCGCGTTGGGTGCAAGTTGTCGTTTGTTTGTGCAGGTATTCGGTGACTTGTGTGTTGTCTCCTACTGGATTGATACCTTGGTTATCAAACTGAGGGAAATACTTATCTCTACTTTGCTGCATCACCCTTTCCTCTTGAAGGGAAAAACCAACGCAAGCTCAAGAATTAGCACCTCCTGTCGTCTTCACTCCTCCAGCACAGCAGACTTCGTCAGAACGCTTCGCGAATGCACTTATCTCCACTTTGACGTCTGCGCACACCGGTGCGCTGCAAGTCAGAGTACTTCTTCACCAGGAGCTACCGGAGATCAGGCCTAGAGCGACTTTTAGCTCTATACTTCTTCAAACTTTTTGGCACTTGTTGTCAAAGGGGGAGAATTATTATAGATCATTAGGCTTCAAGAGAGTGCTCTTGCTTTTTCTTGTTTAGTTTCCTTGAGAGTTTCTTGCTACTTTGGGTTACTTTTGCTTGATGCATGTACGAGACTACGTTATTATGTGCTTGATCATATCGTACTTTGATGTTATGCTTGCTTGGATATCTATTCATATGCTCCTTGTATGATCATTCACTTGTTTGTTTGGTGATGAGTGCTAACAATTTTGCAATCATATTATTTTGAGCGCTCCACCAAGATATATGTGACATGGAAGAGTAACCCATGATCCTAATCGATCGTGCATTTGCACTCAAACGTAAATTTTTAATAATGCACAAATTTAGGGGGAACTTTGGCTTATCACATACTTCTCAAAGCTACGATGTATTTCATTCATTATATCTTTTGTTGAAGCTTTTATCTATATCTTGTCATCAATTACCAAAAAGGGGGAGATTGGAAGTGCAACTAATCCCCATGTAGTTTTGGTAATCCTATATACATAGAAGTTCATCCCCACTATCCTATTTATCTCAACATGCACACATGCCACCTCACCAAAGGCCCACCACTACATGCATGAGAAAAAGTTTTCCACTATTAGTTGATCTCATGAACACCTTTCACCTCACCACACATGCCTCCTCATCAAAGGTCCACTCAAAATGCATGAAAACAATTTTCCATTAAGTTATCCCACTTACATTCAAAATATTTTCTGACTACACAGTAATCAAACACAAAATATAATATTTATTTTTAGCTTTAGTTCATATATTATTGGTTCAACTATGGAAGCTTCGTACAATCAAATCAGTGAAATATATTGCAATCGATTCCCGCAACAATGTGTGGGGTATTCTCTAGTTAATACAACATATAAGTCATTGATGTAATGCTCATTGATAATAGATTTCAGAGAAGATCGTGATTGGCATGGCATGGACTAGTGAATGTGGACCCCCCAAAATGATAAGGACAAAGATTGGCAAGGCTCCAAGACTCTACAATTTAGGTTAAGTTATCCAATATCATATTGATCCAGATGAAAGCCAATACTATTAAAAGGGGATGATGTTTTGGTCACGAATCAATTGCTCAAGTGCTTAGTGGTATTGCTCCAAAATCCTCATAGTTCTCCACTTCATTCCTATCCAAAACCCTAAAAGTTGATCTCGGTCCCACCAAAAAACTCTCCTCTGGACCCACTGAGATTACCATATATATTGCCACATGCCAAACCATAACACTTCAGTACAACCGAAATGGATCTCAGTCTCATCGAGATGGTCTAACCAAGTTTCTGTGATGAAGTCACTTCATTTAGAAATCACCGAGATGAACCGATCAAAATTTTCGAAACGAGATCTTGCCCTAGCCATTGCACTTTGGTCCCATTGAGGTGTTCTGTTCGGTCTCACCGAAAAGTCTAACGGTCAAGTGTTTAACACTAGTCGGGCTCACCGAGATTTTCATATCGGTCTGTCACCGAGTTGGTTCAATGGCTTGTAATAGTTGGGTTTTTGGTGTTGATGATATATACCCCCACCACCTCACTCTCTAAGAGAGCCATCAGAACAAAACACAACTTCCACAACTCATTTTCTGAGAAGAGAACCACCTACTCATGTGTTGAGATCAAGAGATTCCAATCCAACCATTTGAACCTTGATTTCTAGCCTTCCCCAAGTTGCTTTCGATCCAATCCCCTCTCCTACCAAAGCAAAATCTGTGAGAGAGTGTTTGAGTGTTGGGGAGACTATCATATGAAGCACAAGAGCAAGGAGTTCATCATCAGCTACACCGTCTATTACCTTTTGGAGAGTGGTGTCTCCTAGATTGGTTAGGTGTCACTTGGGAGCCTCCAAGATGTAGAGTTGAACCAAGGAGTTTGTAAGGGAAAGCAGATAGCCTACTTTGTGAAGATCTACCTAAGTGAGGTTAGTCCTTCGTGGTCATAAGCCATGGTGGAATAGGAAAGGTTGCTTCTTCGTGGACCCTTCATGGGTGGAGCCCTCCGTGGACTTGCACAACCATTACCCTTTGTGGGTTGAAGTCTCCATCAACGTGGACGTACGATTGCATCACCTATCGGAACCATGCCAAAAATCATTGTGTCTTCATTACGTTTGAAATCTCCAATCCCTCCTTTACTTACATATGCAAAGTATTTACATTCCGCTGCTCAACTCTTAGACCTGCATGTGTGGGGTGTACTTGACTTGGTAGAATTGCTAAAACTTGCCCACAAGTAAAATTGAGAAAAGGGTAAGTTTTTATTTGGTCAAGTAGTCTAATCGCCTCCCCCCTATACACATACTTTCAATCCTACAACTGGTCCCATCTAAACTAGCTTTTGAGATGGACCAGATATATTGAGCTAAATGGCCAAAATTTATTGGGCTCAGCCCATCTAAACTACCCATACTGATTGGGCCATGTCATATCCTACTTGGCACCCATGTCATCATGTCTGCCATGTCATGGTAGGTGCCATGTGGAAACGTGTACATATACAATGAGCGCGTCCAGAGAGTGGGCATGATGGGACATCTTCACACCGTGCACGCATATAGAAACTATCATAATAAGGCAAGAAGAAAGTAAAATGGATATCACAACAACATTATTATTATTATTATTACTCTAAAGGTAAATACTAATTTTGGGTGAAATCCCAATATGGTTGCATCAAGGCAACATTGAGGTCGCCCAGCTTGCAGAGCTCAATACTTTCTTTGTACAACGCTTCCTGCCCAGGCATATCAACAAGCTCATGCTCACAGTAGTTGACAAAGCCGGATGCCTTATCCACACAGTCGGGTAAATAAAAGGAAGGTGGTCCAACTTTTTCACCACCTTTGGGACCGCGGTAGTCCTTGAGCATGGTGTTGCAGACTTTGAGGATGGTCACCGCGGCATCATAGTCCATCTCACACAATCTGAGGCGTTGTGCTGTTGATGTGCCATTCATGGCACTGTGCATCATTTCTTTGACCTTGCCACTTGCGGCAATGATATGTCCCTTCAGAATGTCTACACCAATGAGGGCCAGGTCATGAAGGTCCTTTGCCTCATCACTCCGCTTGTCCTGCTGGAGGGTCGAGACGCAGAATTCTTTTGTGACGTGACGGTATTCAGAGGAGTTGATTGAAGCATTTTTGCATGCTTCAACAATGAAATGGGTCCTCTTGGGTTTGCCACCATTGTCGTTGTTGGTCTGAGCAGTGGTGGCTGAGGAAAAGAGCATGATGATTATGGTAGAGGAGATGATGGTGGTCGTCCATGCTATTGCCATTGCTGCAAGCTCAACTAGAAGCCTTGAATTGTATTGAAGCTAAGAGTGATGGGGACAATTGTATATGAAACGATGTTAAAGGGAGATATGAATGGATGGTTGGATGGCTCGAGGTGATATGCATAGGTATTTATAAAGTTTATACAGTGGGACTTCATAAATGTATTATGCAGTTTGGCGGTGGATATAGAAATGATTAATATCCACTCCATGCATAGATATGTACATATGTTGACGCTCATTGCGGATCTCCTTGTATTAATATGTTTACTATGTAGGCCCATTAATGTAACATAGCTCGATCATGGATATCAAAAAGATTGATGATCAATGTGTGCATATATGTATTGGTTGTTCATAAATACCTTGATGCCCACTTTGGATATCATGGTAGTAATAATATATCCACTAGATAGGTCCATGAATGCAACACAACCATGCCATATGTGACCAAATGATTAATGTTTATTTGTGTACAAATATGTTGATATTCATTTTGGATATCCTCGTATTAATACTCTCTCTATTCACAAATATTGATGCTAATTTGTGATCTTATATTAATACACATCTATCTTTGCATAGGTACGTGGATGAAAGAACTCTTGATCATGGATATCCAAATGATATTAATAATTTTTATACAGTGGGACTTCATAAATGTAGTATGCAGTTTGGCGGTGGATATCCAAATGATTAATGTCCCACTCTATGCATAGATATGTATATATGTTGACGCTCACTTTGGATCTCCTTCTATTAATACGTTTACTACATACGCCCATTGATGCCCACTTTGGATATCATGGCAGTAATACATCCACTAGATAAGTCCATGAATGCAACACAACTAGGCCATATGTAACCAAATGATTAATGTTTATCTATGCACAAATATGTTGATCCCCATTTCAGATATCCTCGTATTAATGCTCTTTGTATTACCAAATATCTTGATGCTAATTTTTGATCTTCTTATATTAATACATATCTAACTTGCATATGTATGTGAATGCAACGCCTCTTGATCATGGATATCCAAATGACTATCGTTCACTAGTCGTCGACCATGCCAATACTCATACAATCAATGTGAACCACACACACAAATTTCCATATGAAATGATATTAGTTTTCCTTATTACCATCCAACAGAATAGCTAAAAATCATCGTAAAAAGGAACAACTTAAAAGGAAAAAGATACTACGCCATTAAGATATTGGAAAGTACATGGGGCGCATGCTGTAGCCCAGCAAAGCAAGCACACCTATTTTTCCTGCCCACTCAACTCGGAAAACCCTATTTGCAGTATGTGGCGGCAAATAGTCGGAGCTACATATTTTTCTTTCTCTGCTCATTTCTCATTTTCTTTCATGTTTCTTTTTCTTTTCTCCCTTTCAAGTTTATTTTTCTTCTTTTTTCCGTAAATTCCAAATTTTCAAAAAATGTTAAGAATTTTAGTATTTGTTCAATTTTTTTAAAAAATGTTCATCATTCCAAAATTTTGTTCCCATTTTGAGAAATGTTCGAAATTTTATTTTTTTGTTGCTATCCCATAAACATTCAAAATTTATTTTCCCCCAGTTTTTCAAAAAAAGTTGTGTCTTCCAAAATTGTTCAAGATTCAAAAAACCTTGCATTTTTAAAATGTTCCAAATTCAAAAATATTCTCGTTTTAGTGAAATGTTCACAAATTCATGGAAAAATATTTTAAATAGTCCCACATCTTTATATACAGTCGTACAAATTTATATACGTGTGTGAAACTACATGTAGTAAGCTAGATGAAGGAGGATAGATTAAGTCGGACGAAGGATGGATGGATTAGTATGTGAGCAAGCTGGAAAAGGATCCTGAATTCCTTAAGATGAAAAAAATGTCTCCATTTTTTCAAAAAATGTTTGTGTTTTCCAAAATTGTTGAAAACATTCTTGTTTTAGTAAAATATTCACAAATTCAAAATAATGTCCGTGTTTCAAAATTACACATTTTCTAAAATTCTGAATATTCAAAACATGCTCCCATTTTCAAAAATTGTTTGTGAATTAAAAAAAGTTCCAGTTTCAAGTTTTGTTCATATTTTGCCAAAAATATAGAATTTTTGAAAAATGTCGCATTTTTTAAAGTTGTTCGGGATTTCAAATTATTCATGTTTCCAAGAATATTTGGCAATCCACAATAATTATTATTATTTAAAAAGTTCAAAAAAGCAAAAATAAAAAAAAATTGTTTGAATCTGACACTGTAGTATGCTTTTAAATATTTGCGTGAGAGAGTGATTTCTTGTTTTTCTTCGAAGCGGGTGTGCCAGCGTAGATGTTCACACCCTCGCTAGGCTCTTGAACATCACTTTCTCTCTTCTATAAAAATATGGTACGCCATTGGCGTACTCCTAAAAAAAATATTTGCGCTGGCCATTGGTTAGTAGGGCATGTTTGTTCGAGTGGCTGGTAGCATATGGTTGGGTCTTTGAGGTCGTGATTTCGATCCTTCAACTCGTCCTTTTTTGAAGTTTTACTCGTGCCTTACAAACACTAGTCGTTTCGATGCCTGGTCCTTTCACAGCACACACAATTTAGCCGGCCCAAGTACGTGGAAAATAAGGAAAAAATATTTTAAATAGTCCCACATTGATCCTTTACATACAGTTGTACCAATTTATATACGATATGTGAGACTAGATGTAGTAAGCTGGACGAAGGATGGATGGATTAAGCTGGACGAAGGATGGATAGATTGGTACGTGAGCTAGCTGGAGAAGGAACCTGAATTTCTTGATGATTTCTACACAAAGAGAAGAGAAGAGAAGACCCGACTACGTGAGCTAGATGCATGGAAAAGAGAAGACCCAGCTCACTTCGATGCTACGGAACTTCACACCTTAAATCCTCTCGATTAATGAACGAAAAATAGCATGTAGAATTAAACTCCGATTGTACTATATCAGCGAATAATTCGCAAGCCTTTTCTGGCATGTGATGACCTAACAAAACCCAGGATCTAAACGTTCAAACTTCATACAATAAGTCCCTTCAATCAAAGAACATAAAAATAGCGGATTGATTACTTCACACGTGGCCAAATGTAGAACCTAAATGTTCCTTCGCGGCGTGCCTACAGGGTTATGCTTGCGCATATAATTCTCACAAATTTAATCGCACACTATTTTTTTCTCCCATTACAACGCATGGGCATATGTGCTAGTGTATACCTACTAATAAAGGAAATAGGTATTCTTGGTTAATCATGTCATTTTGCAGAAAGTCCCTGATATTTTTGGTAATCAACATGCACTCAAGTTTTAAGTTAGATTTTTTGCTTTTGCAGAAAACCTCCTGATGTTTCTAGTAGTCAACCCGCCAGCCAGTTTTAAGTCAGATTTTTGCTTTTGTAGAAAACCCTCTGATAACTAGGTTAATCAACATGCACTACATATCAAAAGCTTTTTAAAAATATTCACATTTTTTAACTCTGACATATTATCTATGAAATTTGATTAGAAAAATGTGTAGAATCTAAACATGTTGTCATTTTTACTTGTTAACCATTTAAAAAATGCTATTTAGGGTGAAACCTTAATCAACGGCGCATGACCCGTGTTTCATTCATACTGGTGCCGATTTAGATTGGAAATGAATACCACAACAGAACCAGGATTGGAGACGAAAGGAACAATCTATATAGATGCCGCGCGCGTTGCCAAAACCTCACATGAAAAACAAGCATATTTCTCATCTTATGCTGGGAGAGAGACACCTTAGGATTGGCAACTTTCAAACACGTTATGACTGTGTGAGCACTAAGGCCACTGTCGACGAGGGTAGGAAGAAGGGTAAGTGACGACAAAGATGAGATGCCATGTGTTGAAAGAAAGGACGTGCACCTATTGGGTCTTGACTCATAGTTGTTGGGTTAGGCGAGTGTGGTAATTTTTCTCTTCCGTTGCAACACACGGGCTCTTCTGCTAGTATGTTCTATGAGGTTATCCCTATTAGTAGAACCATTTCTTTCCTGGACCCAGCTAGCGCGTTGACGACCTTAACCCATGACACATGTACCTTGCTGGTTCTGCAAGACATATACCATGATTAAGCGCGACATCGAGAAGCAATCAAATGGATTGATGCATGATACGCTGACGCTCGGTAGCGAGTGAGCTCGCCATGTTTATTTTCTGTTTTTCATTCTACAAACAAAGATAAAGGTACTAAACTCATTAATCCTTACTAGGTGGTCCAAGGAAAGGATTTATGTATAAAAAATAATACATCAATTTGATTGCATCATATTTGAAAATATCACATATGTATGACATAGAAAAACATGAGATGGGGGCTAAGTTTAGCTTACATCGTTGGTGGGACTTAATCCTCTATCCTCACGGTCAGATTCCAGCCATAGATGGATCCATTGCTATTAGCACGAGTGAGATACATTGTCAGCTACTTGGTGCTCACCACATTGTTGTAGTCAAGATACTTTCTTCCCAAGAGATGTACACCGAACATCTGGGACCAGCAGAACATGAAATCGATGGTGCAGGGTGTGGGCACAACCTTTTAGTTGGTCAAACCGCCTGAGTTCGTTTTGACTATAGGCATACTGCATGCACTACATGTCTCCTTGCTGGTGCTTTTTGCAGGCGGAAATATTATGTATGTGAGGCAACCATGGATCCCTTGATGTGGGCTAGCTAAGATTCCAGCGAAAAACACCCATGTATGAGGCAAAGCATGTACGTACATGAATCGAGTTGATCGCTAGCAACATGTAATTTTCTATGTACATGTGCATGCTATTTTCCTGAATATCCACCCACACGTGCGTGCTTCAAAAGTACTTGTGCAACTCTTCATTACGTGATGTGGCCAAAAGTATCCAGCAGGAAACTTACTGAGACAGTGCTTCCATGAGCAGCAATGATCAGGACTTGCATCAACATTGAGGAAGACACATGTATCGCCTTTCTTGCATTGGGCAACATCACCGTCCGATGATC